TGGGAGACACAGCGCTGAGTTGCACCTGTACACCGAGGGCTGTCTGCTATAGCCCCATGACCGCACTCTTCCCCCAGAAGCACCCCACACACCTTGGGCAGGAGGGGTGACCGCATCCCCCAGGCCTTGTTACCTAAGGGGCACATAGCCCCCACGTGCCTGGTCCAGTCTGGACCTGCCACAGCCGCTCGTGGCCCTGTGCTGCATTCTGAAGAAAATGAAACCTTTACAGCTGCCCAATCTCTCCTCTGCACTTGGGGATTCACTTGGCAGCTGCCTGATGTGCCTGGAGCCTGGGAAAGGTGGATTCCAGGCTCTCCCCTGCCCTTCCTCTAGGCTGTGATGTGGAAAGAGCTGTAAAAGGAGCATGAAACAGACTAGGTCCCTGATCCCCTGACAGCGAAGGCTGCAGCCCTTGCTGGCTTATAACACCCTCTGTCTTTTCCAGTGACTTTATACTGAAGTGGTGATCTACCTGGGAGCCCAGGTGTGTGCGTGTGATACAAGAATGGTGTTTAATGCAATGGGAACCAGGCAGGGCTGGACCGGAGAGATCCAGAAGGGAATGTGCAGAGAGAAACCGAGCTGCTGCCGTGCTCTTAGCGTATAACAGACTCTATGCTGGCAGTTCAGAGTGTCTGGGAGTGTGTGAATTTCTCTACATTCCTTGTGATTATACGTGGCCGCGTGTAGCAAAGCAGGAGCATCAGACAAACGTTATGCCTCCACCTCCCCTCCGGGAGTGCGATCCCTGGTTCTTGACTCACGGGGCAGAGACAGTCCCAGCTGTGACTAGAGAAAGCGGGTGATTCAGTCTGCGCTCGTGCGGCTGGTGCTGATCGGCAACCTGGCGCTGTCGGAGTTGTTCAGTGAGGGGTAGGACTTCGACTTTCTGACCTGCAGCACCATTGTCCAGTACCAGAGGAAGATGAGGAAGCCTGCGAGAGATGGGAGAAATAGGAGAGCGCTCACTGGGCAGGGGTAATGCAGAGAGCAGGACAATGGGTCACCTGGTGACAGGGGGAGGCTGGCACCCTGCCTGAGCATGGGTGCACCCTGCCAGCTCAGCCCATCACTACTGCCACTTTAAAGGAACAAACTATACGTCAGATGAACTGAGCTAACAGTGTCTCGGATCCATCACTCTACTAACGTAGCAGAGCACTGTCTCGCGCCTTAGCTGGTGGCACCCTCGTGTGGCCATTGGGTGCTGTCGCACAGAAAATCCCAGGGCCCCGCAGGCGAGATGGCTAGGTACAGCGAGGCACGGTCTAGTACGGAGGGGAGCCTCTCCCCCACGGTGAGGAATAGGGCACAGGGTTGTGGCAGCCTCATCAGCTGCTCCTCAGAGAGACTCCAGACTCCTTCGCCATTTACCCCGAAATTCGCCCCGGGGTGACGGCACGTATGCCAGGTCCCACGTCGCCGGGAGAGGGCGAGATGGGCAGAGCGTGCCTGGCCCTGCGCGCTCACCTTGCAAAGTGTTGATGATGGTGAAGAGGTAGATGACGACGAGCCGGAACGATCCCGAGGAAAAGGAGAAGAATGCCAGTGCCCAGGGGATGCCCAGCACGAGGCTCAGGCCCAGGAGAACCAGGGCGTGCTTAAGCTCGTGGCCTCTGTTTCTCTGCCTGAGGATCTCCCGCACCATGGCTCCCAGCATGGCCGTGTTGAAGAGGAACACCAGGCTGAAGAAGCCCCGGTTGACTATGTTATGGATCAGGGGGGCTGTGATCCAGCATCTGGAGGGAAGAGAAAGGCAGATAGTTCAGGTCCGTAATCCTCTGCTAGAGCTCGGGGGACCCCCTGGCACATTCGGCCTCCAGCCCAGAGTTAAACATGGAGGCCGGTCTCCCAGCTGATGTAAGACAGTACAGCTCCACTGAAGTCACGAGAGCTTTGCTGATTTCCTCCAGCTGGGGATCTGGCGGGAGGGAGAGGCAGGAGGAAGAAAAGGTTTCAGGGAAAACCCCAGCAGAGGGGATGTAATCTGTTGGTCTGATGCAGGGTGCACACCGTGTGTAACTGACTCACGGGAGGGGGCACTGCTAGCGATGGTATAACCAGGAACATGGTGATGCCATTTCAATTACTCACATGGTTGCATTGGTGGATTTCTCAAGGGATTCAACTACTTCAATGTGGAATGGTCCATAATTTCTCTGATTCGCCAGGAAGATCACACCCACGATAAAGATGGGAAGCCCTGGATGCAGAGAACAGCATTAGGTAGTTCCCCTAGCCCCAGTTCCTGTCTTTGCAGGTCCCTGAAAAAGGAGCCCATCCTTTCTACTCCTAAGGAATTGACCGTGTTGTTCTCCCGTACCCTTTGTCACCCTAGCGGTGGACTGAGGACAGTGCATTGAACAGGGATGGTTGGGTACAGCTTTGGGTCCTCATGTCCACACTGCTCATAGGTTCCTGGGTGTTAAGGCCAGAAGGGACCTCTGTGATCACCTAGTGTGACCTGCTGCACAGCACAGGCCAGAGAAGTTCACACAGTGCCTCCTGCCCATAGCTTGTGTTTGAGCGACAGTGTATTTTTTTTTTTTTTTTTTTTTTACAGACACAGCCAGTCTTGACTTAAAGCCTTAGTGATGGAGACACCACTGCCGCCAATGCTTTAGTGAGGGGACTGATTTCTAGCCTGAATTTCTCTAGCTTTAGTTTCCAGACATTGGTTCGTCTTATGCCTTTGCCTGCTAGATGAAACAGCCTCTGCCCTCAGAAATCTCTTCCTCGTGTAGGTACTTGTGGACAGTGAGCAAATCATCCTCTTATCCTTGCAAGAGGAAAGTCTTTTGGGGGTGGGGGGGAAGAGGCCTGGCGTTCTCAGGGCCATCTCTGCCTCCTTTCGTACTCACCCCAGCCCACCAGGCAGAGCTTGAGAATGAAGTGCTCCACGTAGGTGTTGAAGACCTTCACCACCAGCCTGTAGAGATTGTAGCCCTCAATGCCCATCCAGGTCAGGCAGCACAGCAGAGAGAGGTGCAGGAACATGCCGCTGGCTTTGCAGGCTGCCTCGCTGCCGATGGAGGCCAAGTGCTCAGTGATGAGGAAGCTCACGTCCAGCAGGAAGATGGCCCCCAGCAGGTTCATGTGAATGTAGATGTTTACGGTGCCGTCTCTGTGCTTCCTCCTGGGAAAGGGAAAGGAAGAGATTTCATTCCTGCTCCTGTCTGGGAGTTCCAGACCCAGCACCCACAAAACCCCACGATGGGGTCCCAGGGCTTTGATTCAAGCAGCTCACCCTAACCAGAGACACGCAAGAGATCTGTGTCTTAACAACAGGAGATTGTGAGCCCAGTGCCTATTCCACATGTGATGGCCAGCTGATGGCTGTGATGGGTGAACACGCTGAGCCACTGGTAACTGCAACAGGTGAGTGATCCTGGTCCCCTTGTTCCATTGGGAAGCTACATCTCTGCTGGCCTTTGAACCATGTGTGCAGGCGACGGGTTTGGCCATTGCGTACAGCCTAATTTCTCAAAGGAAGCCTCTTTTAGCCTGCGTCAGCCCCTTGTTAACACACTGCTAAAGATCTGTGCGTGCCCACGCTCGCTGCATTAGTGCTAAAGACCAAGATGGCGGTTAAGATTATAAAACATGATAGGTGGTTCTGGGGGCCCATCTGGAGACCCCATAAAGGGGTCTGGTTTCTAGGAGTGGGTGCTCAGCACTTCCTGAATATCAGGCCCCTCTCAGGTGTCTCACGTTGGGCCCCCAGAATCACCAGTCCCTTTAGGAAAATCTTGGCCAATCTGTGTGTAATGGCAGCCGAGGGGGATGCTGCCTGCATGGGGTAATGAACTGGTCAGCGTGAGCACGAGTTACAGGCTGCTAGCTAATCCACCGCCCCGAACCATAGTACTGTACCTGGAGCAGCAGAGGAAGAAGATGATGGTGAAGAGGGAAGCCACAGCTGAGATAATGCAGCCAATGTAGGTGATAATTGTCAGGTACTCCTTGTGGATGTGATCTATCTCTGGAGAGGACATCTGAGAATGGAGAGGACAGGGGAGGTGTTAGAGCCATGCTGGGCAAGAGCTGAGAGCTTTACCCATCGCTGCGGAGACCATGCAGTGAGGATGCAGAGAGGTTGAGTGGGAGTTGGTACCCGGTACCCACCATCAGCACAGCAAAATAGGTGAGGTGGTTGCAACGACAGACTGTCTGGTTATTACCCGTCTCTGTTTCACAGCCATCACTTTTCCAGCTGCCGCGGCCATCTGCAAAGAGAAAAAAAGCAGTTTCCTGTTGAAGGTGGGAGGTTTTACACACTCAGCCCAAGTCAATGTTCACAGAAAGTCTTTGACCCACGGTGTCTGCAAGCAGGTGAGAATGAGAGAGTGCTTTGCAATGGGGCCCAGTGACTCTCGTACAGACCACATGGCAGCACTGGGGACTCTTCGAACCCAAAATCACTCCCACCCATATCTGCGTGGAGAGCAGGGCCTGGGACAGATTCTTTGGGATATCCATGAGGGAACCGCCTGAGATCTAGCCATCCACGGAGATCTATGGGCTGTCCCCCGGCATTAGAGGAATGGCAGGATTCACAGATGAGGGGAGGCTGTCAAATCAAGCCCCGTTGAGGCTGAAAAGGAGAAGTCAGGGAGCCGGAGTGAGTGACACAGATTGGAGAAGGACAGAGTGAAAACCAATCAGCGTCTCCTGAT